AATGAGGATTCAGATGAGTCTCACAAAGAGACTGATAAAGATGAGGAGGAAATACAGCAAATGGCTGAAAAGGGGCGCAAAGAAATGCAAGGCCCAAGTACAGCTGAGGTTCTGTTTAATGACGACGACAATAATTCATTACCTTATGACCCAAATCTTGTATGCCCAAAGTGTGGAAAGCAATATCGTGTTGGGGAAATCCAGAAATTAAGGAGACATATAAATGAATTCTGCACAGGAATAAGATGATCAATAGCTTTTATGATTATTTCTGTTAAGAATAATAATTTTAATTAACTAGTCTATTCATAGATTTTATTAAAGTTAAGATTTGGAACATACGGACGTGAACGAATAATATGCAATATTGGGAAATTCCCATTAAGGACACTATTCTCATTCTGATTCTGGCATATAAATACGTGCATATGTACCCTGTCTCTATCTGACTATCTCTGCTGCAACTAGTACTCTTTCTACCAATGTAAGCATCTTCATTATTGTGTACTTCAGTACTATTTTTAACAATGCATTTCACTGACACTGTTTGGTAGTTTTGAAAATGTTCAAAAAATGTGTTTCAGTCTTTGCAGTTTGCACAAATGGCCCCATTGATTGTATTGTAATGAATTTATGACAGTACTTTTATAATCTCGCTAGCCAGACCATTCCCCAGCCTACAGTCATGGCCAATGACGGGGAATGGTCTAACCATATCTGTGATCTAACTAATCTGCCTGAGTGGGTGTTAATGATTTCAATTATTGTTTAGTTCTGCTCATCAATGGCTGAGAGGAAGAAGTCTAAAGGGTCAAAAGGGAACGAAGGAGAGGAAGGGACTGATGGTTCTAAACAAAAAAGAGGAGGAGGAGGAGGAAAGGATTCTCAGCAGAAGAGAACAAAATTAGGTGGAGCTGCTCATTATGTACACAAGCGAGTAACAGGACAGCCAAAATCAACACCTAAGAAGAAAGACGGAAAGAATGATTCATCTGAACCTCATTATGAGATTCCAGCTCCACCTCCTCCTAATATGGAATCAAAAGAATCCCAACAGCCACAAGGATGGAATCCAGCTCCATGGAATCCAAAAACTCCAGTTGAGAAGATCCCACCCAGTGATGCTAAACACACTGATCCAGTACAACAAATGGTATCAGCATCAGGAACAGTTATATCATCAATAGAAGGGACAGAATTCGATCATACTGAACTACCAACTGAAGGAGCTACACCTCTTACTGTAATGAAATATGATCATGACGACGATGATGATTCTGCTAATGTAAGTATAATTATTCAAAATCCGTATGTGTCA